ATTCGGTCGAAGTACCGAGAGAAACGCTCTGGATCCAGAGACTTTGAGAAGCAACGTGAAAGCCATAGATCGTCAGCTTCGCAAAGTCTTTGAAAATGCTAAGAAGTATATGGAGAAGCGGGGTGCTCACGGCGTAGCGGAGTCGGAGATTCAGCCGGTGAAAGTACTGAACAATTTCGATTGGTTCAAGGATATTGGTGTTCTCGAGTTTCTCAGCGACGTTGGAAGGCTGGCTAGGGTGTCGATTATGCTTTCAAGAGAAAGGTAAGAGCTCACACGGAGCATTTTAATGTGTTTCAAGAATTCACCAAAATGCTGGGATTTTGTATTCAGCGTGCGAAGTCGACTCGACAGTCCTGAAGGGATAAGCTTCACGGAATTTTCGTATCAACTACTTCAAGCATATGACTTCTACTACCTGTTTTCAAGGGAAAGATGCCGTGTGCAAATTGGCGGCAGTGATCAATGGGGCAACATCATGGCTGGCATGGATATCATCAAGAGGAAGACCGGGAGGCCTGAAACGCAGGCCGCCGTAGACAGTGATTTAGAACGAGAACCAGCCGCGTTTGGACTGACCATTCCGCTGGTGACAACGGCAACCGGCGAGAAATTTGGGAAGAGCGCGGGCAATGCAGTCTGGTTGGACGAAAACTTGGTCTCCCATTATGACTTTTACCAGGTAGAGTAATGCACGGTAAACCTTTGGTGGACAAGCGGGAAAATGTAATCTGATGTCATCAAAAACAGTTCTTTCGGCGAACGCCGGACTCTGAAGTGCAGAAGTATCTTCGATATTTCACCTTCCTCCCAGAAGAGGATATAGAGAAGCTGATGGTGCAACACACGGTAAGATTTCAAATTTGGCAGTATCTAATCAGTAACCTGACACTGCTGATTTTGTGGAGAAGGTCACACCGGAAAAGCACATTCCTCAACGGACTTTGGCGCGAGAAGTGACAGAGCTAGTGCATGGAGGTGAGTGATCAGTAGGATTACTTTTTGAAATTGGAATCGTCGGCGGATTAATACTCCGTTATGCTATGGCAGACGACGCAGCACATAAAGCCCAAATAATGGCCGAAGTACTATTCGATGGAAACTTAGCCGAAACTCGAGGGGTTGATATACTCGCGGCGTTTTCTGGGGATGATCGACTAGCGGAGCTTCGCCGCACTGCTGTCATTGGAACAGATATCGTACAAGTGGCTCTAGCTTGTGGGGCAGTCAAATCCAAATGTAAGGGGGAGAGTAGCGCTTTTACCCGTGACGTCGACGGTGAGCTAACTATTCTATTCATGCAGCTGCTGGCAGGAAATTGCTTGCGTCCGGGGGACTGTATTTGAATAACATGAAAGTCAACCCCAGTGGAAAAGTAATTGAAGAAGAAGATATGCTGGATGGAGTCGTATTTTTGATCCGGACTGGAAAGAGCAATCATAGAGTGGTGAAGTTGGTTTAAATGGCCTGGATAGATGCATATAGTGAACTCTCACGATTCTGTTTATTGTATTTCCGCATTAAATTAATTATAGGGAACGTAATGGGTTGCACTTCTGCGCTTCACGTAGGGATAAGACTTATGGTATTGAATCAAAGTCTTCTGGAATATTGAACTGCTCATAGAATTGTTGCGATGAAATATTGAATGTCCGGGAGCAGTAAGACTGTAGGGCGAAGATATTATCTGTCCGCAGAATGTTAGACCAGACATGCAAAGCCTGCCGTCACTACATGATACCAACCTGTCCATCGATTTGCCGCATCCTTGGCCACCCTTGTTGCTTTCTCTGTCGTAAGAGAAGTTTTTCAACCATATATCCAGGAATTCAGAGGACTCAATTGCATGCACCCACCTTTTGCTTCCAGCAGGGCGGGGTCACAGTCCCGAAATCGTTCTAACTCGGCGAGGTGTTCTTTTCGCAGTGATTCTGCTTCCGCTAGCTGACTCAAGAGGACAATTCTTTCATCCTGCCCAAATTAATTCGTCACGACAATTGAATCAATACAGCAGAAAAAATTAAGACTTACTGTCTTTTCCCGTCCACCTTGCGCTTCACTTATCGAAAGCTGAAGCTCATTTCGCTTTTCCTATAGGTATCGAACGTCATTCTAACGTAACCCTTAAGTCACTACATGAGATCGACTCTTTACCTGTAGCTTGTTCACTTCGTCTTCTAGTTCATCAATCTTACGTTTCCTCTGATAGGTGGCATGTCAATCGGACAGATTCAATAGCAAACACGGGTAACGCTCCTCACAGTTTGAACAGCCGTACTCGGGAACGACCAGTAGTAATTGCTACAGTAGGAGAACTTAGCTTGAGCAGACAAGGGTTCAAACCAGTTGCATATTTTTTTACGATGAGAAGGCCTACCTGGTACCAATCTTTTCCACAGTTACAATATTATCTGACTGAACAAAAGGGTGAGACCTGTAATCACCGCTGCTGCAAATAGCGTATGTCACGTACAACAAGACTGTCCAGGACCTCCTTAATGCTTTGTATAACTACAGAGTGGTAATTAGTATAGTAGCTTGTTTGCTTAGAAGATAAAGGAATATAAACCGGTGTAAGTACCTATTCCCTTCGACTTGGAAGCCAATTTTTCGACATCCTTCGAGATAATTGCCAGTTGAGTCTCGTACGCAAATGAACGGGATCGAGGGCACTTTCACCTTTAATTGCCAAAAGTCCTTCTATACAAGAGGTTAAATGATAAACGGAAAATGAACACTTTTGACGCTGTTGGTTTACCGTTTCGTAGAAAAACTCAGCCAATCGAGTACGCTTCTCTTCAAACGACAGCCCCTTCTTTTTGCTCTGCGAGATAGATTTGTGAGTAAAAGGAACAAGGCATGGCCTTTTTACAACGAAAGCGATCAAATAAGTGACAAGGTCTTACCATGTTCAATACTGCGGACCTTTACAGAGGAAGCGGAACGATGGAGGTTCCCACAATTAATAGCGCAATTAAGCCAAAATTGGTTAAATGAAGTTGTTACGTCAAGCGATATGGATGTCCCCTTGTTCCCCTCCAACTCTTCCCCAGTAGCGCTCCATCGGTCTGCAAGTTTATTTTCAACCAGAGTTTCAAACGCCCGTAACAAAGCACAGAGCAACGCTTTTGCAGGCGAATTGAATTACCATGTCCTTCACACGCCCACCGATTCTGGTCCTGACGGCCGTATTGTGCGTGCTTCTGCCGCTTTTGACTTCCTGTATGCCCGTCGAGCAAATTATACTCGATGGAGACCATGTGTACAAAACAGATTCCGTTACCCGTGCTCCACTGCTAACTGCTCTCAATGGTGAAATCATTGAGGGCCGTTATATTGTAATATTGAAGCGTTCGGAGGGCGTATTGCAGCGTCACCTTCAAACGTACGTGGTTATATATCATGAAGATGGAGTGGCAAGAGGTTAAAGTAATGCTCCCTATTTAATGCAGGATAGGTGCAATGCTCCCTCAATTTGCTGAGGTTAACCCTATTGAGCTACCTGGGCTTGAAGGCTATGTTGGCAACTTCCCTGATCATGTCATTGACGCATTACGCAGCGTGGATGAGGTTGGTTTGTTTCCTTGTTGCTTATTGCTAGTATCTCCGATACTTACAAAAACGTCAAAGGTCGCCTTTATTGAGAAAGATCAAATTGTACATGCCACCCCTACTAAAGGAGTTGGCGCTGTGCAGCATGACGCACCATGGTGCGTATCTGCACATGCTGCTTGGCGGTTGAAACATTGACCCATTTTGTCCCATCATTGAAGGGGACTTGGTCGGATTTGCCATAAAGAGCATCCAACTGGCAACGAGTGAGTAAGGATAAAACGCGAACTGATTGCCGTCACGATATTAAAGCGAACTCGGATTAGATCCCACACATACGTATACTATCCGGACGATGGAAAGGGCGTGACAGCGTACGTGGTGGACACTGGTATAAATATCGAACATGTTGGTAAGTATTGAAGCAGAGTCATCATCGTGTTGGCCGAAGCGGACGAGACCTTCATGCGGATGCATTTTGTTTGCTACAGACTTCCAGGGCCGTGCAAAGTGGGGTGCCACGATTCCGTTCAATGACGAGGATATTGACGGTAACGGACATGGTATGTAACTATTTCAAAAGTCAAGCATTTTGCCCCGTCACATGGGATTAGCATGATGATGTGCGCCAATCCTTCAGGTACCCACGTCGCAGGAACTATTGCTGGTGCAGCGTACGGTGTTGCAAAGCAAGCAGAAGTTGTTGCAGTCAAAGTCTTGAGGTCGAACGGGTCAGGAACGATGTCGGACGTGGTTCGCGGAATTGAATGGTGAGAGCTAGAGGTATCTGCTTTTCGTTTTGCTGTGATCACTATGCCCATGTCTTTACTTAAAGGGTTGTAAAAAATCACCGTAATCGGACCAAAGAAGCGCTGGACGACGGCAGTAAGAAAAAAGTTAAGAGTGTTGGTAATATGAGTCTGGGGGGTGGCATGTCTAGGGTTTTGAACATGGCTGTGAATGCGGTACGCTCAATCGTTGTTGGACTATGTGACCCGGCGCTTAATCTCTTATGCTGCCGCTACGCCCACAGGCATACGACGCGGGCGTTCTTTTCGCAGTTGCTGCGGGTAACGACAATCAAGTGAGGATCTCGACCTTTGCTTTAATCCTTCATGGTTCCTTACTAGTATTACCTTGTGACAAAAGGACGCGTGTGACTACTCTCCCGCCTCTGCAGAGAAACCGATTACAGTTGGTGCCACGACGAAAGAAGACATTAGAGCTTGGTTCAGCAACTGGGGTTAGAATCTAAGCCGCCTTGTAACTAAGTTTGTGGCGATATTGGCTTATTTCCCAACCTTAGGTAAATGTACCGACATTTTCGCACCCGGTCATCAAATTCTGTCTGCTTGGATCGGCAGTAATGACGCTACGAATACTCTCTCTGGAACCTCAATGGCGACCCCTCATGGTAATATTTTCGGATTCTCACTAGTGTGGGCAATTCTAATTTGAAAGCGGACACTGCTAGTTGCGGGTATTCTCACGGCCTTCCTATCCCGCCCGGAATTTGAGAATCTCCAACCGAAGGATCTAAAAAGACTGGTGATCAAGGCCGCCACCCGGGGGGTTATCATCGGGATTCCAGAGCACACCGATACGAAGAATCGTCTGGCTTTTTCCCTCCCACCTTCAGAAGGAGACATCTAGACAAGGGATGACCCCATCTGCAGATTACCGCTGGAGACAGGATGGATGATGTACGCCACTATGTGATAGCTGAAACCGAAAATTGGGTGTATATGTGCATAGCATCGAGAATATCTCTGTACTAATGCCAACATGCTCCAATGATACTATCTTACACTATTCTGGTGGTCGCGCTCTATACATATATATATACACAAAATGCAGGTTGGAGTAGATGACTAACTCTTCGGATGTTGGAGCATCATCAGCAGCATCGCCCCTTCCTCCGCTTCCGCGTCTATAGATGTATGGGTTGGAGAACATGCTCGGGAAGGTAACGGGGAGGGAGTAGGCGAAGGGAAATACGGATTGGTAGAATCTTTCGACTTCAAGTACGAGGTCCAGGGGTCCCGCTCGTACATGGATGGTATTCCTAGCTTCGCAAAGTACGCATTTGTTTCTTCGCGCAGTCGTTTGGTTAGAAGAGCACCGATATCATTACTAAGCCCAGGTGGTTGTTGCTTTGCACCAGACCCTAGATGACGACTCGTCGGAGTTTGAGTTGCCCTAACTTCTTTCTCTGAATAAACCTCAGTGGTAGCACCCGTTGACAGCGGAGAAATTGGTCCCACATCACTTCCGTATGCTGAATCCTGCTTTCTTGCTTTCGGAGTGCTGATGGTGTTGGCCCCAATAGTATTGTAAATTTTGCGGATTTCCGGGAACGATTTCTCTGTCCAGCCGCGGGTCACTTTGAACTTCGCATATTCCAATCGCTTACGTAGGAGATTTGCAACCTTGGACACTTCAGCGCGTCGGAGGGCTTTATTCACCCTTCGGAGCTTCTCTTCGGCGCTTCTTTGTCGATTTCTGACTATCCTAGACTTGAATGCCTGCACAGTTTCTTCCTCATTCTCAGGACTGCTGCAAGCCCCAGCGGGAACCTTCATCCTGTGTTTGAGCGAAATAGCCTCATCGACCTTTTCGCTTGAGTGTGGTGACCCATGTAAGGCATCCTAGAGTGAATGGTATCAGTAGCAAGAATCGGAAGTGCGAAGGAACCCATATGAATTTACCGATATCAATACAGTATCGATAGAAGATGCAGGGATTTTTCGACACTGGAAAACAGAGCAGGTACGCTTGCATTAGTGATGACATCGATCGCGGCTGAACGATAGCTTCACACTCTGCGAAACACGAGGGAACGTGACGACAAAGCGAGCAGGAGGGGAATACCTCCTTCTTTCACAGTCTCCTCCAACAGAAACATATCTTACCTTTTGATCTGACGACGCCATATGACAGGTAGGAAACAAGACAAATGCGGGACGTGACAGGTGGAGCAGTTACAGAAATTCACGTCAAACGGAAAGGAAAAAATAGAACGTCGGTGTGTTCTTTCACCCCAAGAGTGCTAAATATTGACACGAAAAGTCGTAACCAGAGGTTTTGATAATGTGGGCTATGTGGTGCCGAATGTGCAGCAGGTGAATGCAAAAGTAAGTCGGTCGGTGCAGGTGGAAAAAAAGGCCGAGAACTGCAACAAGTAACACGCATTTCGCGTCGCGTTTTGGCTTTTCGCACATGTGGCTTGGCTTCGAGTTTGTCATATGACTTCATGTGATCCGCTGACAACTGGAGGATCTGGAGCACTGAGCGAGTGCCTACCAGCTATTGGCGAATGAAACGAGCCTGGATGGATTTACCTTGTGAACTTCATGGATAACTTTTTACCCGGTTCAGCCAGTCTTGTGGACTGCGTAGACAGTATGTTGCCATTGTGAACTGTGCTGCTCATGTCTCTGGGGTCTTGGATGTACGGCGTGGCTTTTTCAACCGACGATCGCAAATAACCCCGCTCTATTCTGTCCCGCACTCTGTCCCTCACTGTACTTTCATTTTCCTATCTCACAGAGAAGTTACTAGTAATACTACGTGACAGCAGGAAACTTATAGGATGGCTCCGCTCATATGATCAGTTTGGTATGTACGCACATCCTCGTTTGTTTGACGTCACCTTCACTCACAGCTTCCCTGGCGGCGATTTCAAAAGCGAATCTAGTATTGCAGGATACCGTGGAAAGAACGTATGTTGGTGATTCTTATGGAGAAGTATATCGAGGCATATTCGTAATTCGGGGAGAAAATGTGGTCCTATTGGGTGAAATTGTAGGTTATGAAAAGATGAAAGCTTTGGATGTTGATCGCCGTGATGTCAAGTATACTGTGATTGATACCACTTGTACTTCCAGGACAAGGAGAAGGAGGCAGCGGCAATAGGAATGCTGCGACAGTTACCCGTGGAGGAAATTAAAGAGCTGCACAAGCGAGAGATGGACATAAAAAGGCAAACTGACAAAGCAAGAAGTCGTGTGTTACAGGAAAGAGGGTTCAGTGTGGATGGCCAGGAGCAGAATGATCAATATTAAATTCCATCCATAATAATTAACAAATATCCAAAGATATCCAAAAACTGTTAAGCCTCCTCTTCACTATCTTCAACTGCAGCTTTGGTCCCTTTGCTCAGCCGTGGACGTTTGAAATGTACATCATCGTCCTCCGATTCTACGGGCGTGCCATTGTGTGATAATCTCTCATCAGATGATGCTTGTGCATTCTCCTGATCACTCTCTGCCACTCTTTTCCGTTTAGAGCCGCTTTGACTGTCGTCTTCACCACTATTCTCGGGGTCTTGCCTTTTAGGGCTATTTGGTACCTCTTCTTCATCTTCGCTATCCTCCACAAACTCGCTAGAAAGATTGGAACGGATTCCGACACGCTTCGCGGTTCGAGATGGGTTGACCTCATTTAGTTCACCATCGCTATCATCCGCTGTGTTTGCCCGTTTTTGATCTGCTTTCTTTCGCATCCGGCGTCTGCATCGGCCGTAGAATGATGAATGCTAACCATTTCCGATTGCCTTCATGAACATCACTCTCACCTTTTGTCATTCTTCTGCGGCTCATTATCGCTATCTGATGGTGATACTTCACGCACACGCTTACTTCCTTTTGATTTCCTTTTGTTTACTTCCATCTCTTTTTCCTCCTCATCAAGCTGCCGTGAGCGAGCCATGTCTTCCTGCAGCTTGGCCTGGATCTCCGCCCGGCGACGCTCTCGTTCTTCTTCCTGGTGTCGTCGTAGCTCTTGCTCTTCCCGCTGAATTTATTGTTTCAGTTTCAGAACATGTAGTACAGGAAACTATGAACAGCGCTCACCTCCTTCTGTAGTTTCTGCTCCTCTCGCAGCCGTTGTTCTTCCCTGATCCGTTCTTTCCTTTCCTCTCTTTGTCTCTCCAATGTGGCAGTCTCATGGATTTTCTTTTCAGATAGCTTTCGTACATCTTTACAATAAGTCTTACGATGCATCGCATGAGTAATATTGTAATTTGGTCGATGTTCTGGATCTCTCGATGCAAGTGCAGTGAATATCCTGATAGAAACCATCAGGCTTTAGTAAAAATCGCACTTCCATAGGCGACAGAGAGCACCAACTTCTCAGCGGTTTCGATTCCCTCTGTTGCTCTATGCATTGCAGCGAGATTTCTTCTTTCTATCGGTTGATCATTAAGTACAACAGCCATGTGCTGCTTTACTAAGGCAAGGTTGAAGAAAATCGCTGCATCGCTAGGATTCAACTTTGCTGCCTAATGAAGACGTTGTAGTCGTGTGAACAATATGAAAGTGTTAGGGGAAACCTGAAGAGGAACTCCTCAAACATACCTTTTGCACCCATTGGAGGGCGGAGTGCATAGCCGCATCGTCCTTGCGCTCCCTAGCTAAGATATAATACGCGCGGGCTAAAGATTGCAAAACGTACGAATCTTGACCGAAACCCTTTTTCAAGGCTTTCTCGTACTACAGGTGCATAAACCGTGTTATTGAACTTGGCGAGCAAGCGAATGAAGAAAGCTCGTAGCGCACCAATGGTATTGCAATTTTTGCGTCTTTCTCATCAAGGGCAAGCAGAATATGAGCAAGGTTGAGCGCTGCAGAGGGAAGGTCTCCAGTAGCTTGTTCAACCTAGAGGACGAGCCAAGGGTACATTTTAGGACCCGATTCAAACAGAGCCCTTGTATATCTGATTCTACAAGTGATGTCGTGATACTTACTTGGCTGAAGATAGTGTATGCGTCCCGTAATTGTCCCACCTCCGTGAACAAAATTCCCATGCCTATTGCTGCTTGTACACATTTCGGGTCATGTTTTAGAGCGGCATCATACAACCTGTGGGCCCGCACTATCAGTTCGTCTCTCTAAATCAGATGAAACTTCATGTGAATAAAGAAACAGACGTAGGTATGTGTCCAACCGACCTCTTTGGGATCCTGTCGCGCGGCTGATCGTGCTAATCCAACTTGTACATTGCCAAGAGCGCACAAGGCGTATATATTCTGATTATCAATCGACTTCAAGACAGAATCGAAGGCTCTTTTTGCTTCGACTCTCTTTCCAGCCAACGAACACGCCCTTCCGATCAGCAACCGGGATTCAGCGTGCTGAGGATCAGCATCGGCGACAAGTTTAAAATGCTCCAGAGCGTCCTCAAACCGGCCCTCGTCACAATATATTGCGCCAAGGCGCAACCGAGCTAATAGGACGAGATATTTCGGTTAATGGAGCCAGACAGAATAGAACATTACAGGGAACTCCCACCGTCTGTGTAGGCGGGATATTGCTCCAAAATTTGCTTGTAGGCGTCTACGGCCTGGCGTAGCTCGCCCTTCGCCTCCAGCAGGCGTGCTTGGTTATACTGCACGGTGGCTTTAGTCATCGTCGCCGCCCGGCGGAACCCGTCACCCACGTCAGATTGATTCGCGGCACTGAGGGCTAGGTTATAGAATTTGTCTGCAGAGATCAAGAGTTCGTCCTTGGTACGTGGTTCGCTGTTGGCGTCGGTGCTACCATTTGCCTGAACACCGTCCTTGATATTTTCAACACTCTTACGTGTCGCATCTTCTGTGCTCTCCGCAAGCAATTGGTGTAGGACGGCCATGTTATTGTACAATTCGGGTGGTATTTGGATACCGCGAGCCTGCAGCTTCTCTAGAGATCGACGGTATACTGAGCGGTCACGGTAACCAGAACCAATGTTAATATGCTGAACAGAGGTCATCCGATGCACCGTACTTACAGCTGGCCGAGCGCTTGATGCTAGCTGACTCCAAAGCTCTACCGACGTCAATTAGAACGTTTGGATCATCCACAGCATCTTCGTCCTTGTTTGAATCGAGGGTATCTAGACTATGCCCTCCACCTGACGATCTACTGAATTTATCAAAGAGCTCCACCGCAGTAGTTCTGCGGGTCGGCATCTGGGCATACAAGGAAACCAATCGCTACGACCTCATGAATTAGCGCGCATTGCTGCATGCATTCGTGCGACATAGCGAATATTCACCATCATGGCTTCGGTATTTTGCGGTTCTTTCTGCAAAATTCGTTCCAGCGTCTGGCAAGCATTTTCTGTTTGCCCTAAAGAATGCATGTTGTTTCAGCATGCCTTGACCTACCGAACCAGTTACTGACAATCAGAGAAGAATGCGTACCTTTGAAGATTTGCATGGCCGCAAGTCCGTATAGAATAGAGACCGAGGATGGATCCAGCGCGGCCGCCTTTTCAAATAGTTGTAGAGCTTCGTTATACTTGCGCTGTTTGCCAACTTCAGACTACTTAAACTCTTAAGTTATTAGCCTGATGCAGTCGACTCACCATCGCTTGCAGCGCCCGGGCTTTGCAAGTTAAGCCTTCTGCGCGGAGCCGTGTGACGTCTGTACGTTGCAGAACCATGTCTGCATACCTAATGCACTGGGGAAGATGTTCAGATGTTGGTCAACATGTAAAACGTCGCCACCATCGCTAAATGATATACCTCAGTGTACTCTTTACGTAGCAACTTCCGGTAGGCCATTTGACATGCCAGTAGCGGGTGCCTCTTATTTGTACGATATACTTTCAGGAGTTTGGCATTAGCTGATGTGGATAGACGGCGTTTGTCGTCTGAGACCGCCTCAGGCCCTCGGCACACATTCCAGTCCAGAATCGCCAGCAGAATCAGGGCGTCTGCATTGTTCGGATCCTTATACAAAGTCAAATATTAGATGCGAACTGGTTTAATGATAAGGAGCTTTAATTCTACCAATTGCAAGGCGCGCTCCAGTGCCTTGCGTGACTGGGTGGTAGCACCCAACTTGTAGTAGCATATACCAATAGGGACCCTGACGTCCGGCTGCAGGTCAGGTTTTATGGACAGTACTTTTTGGTAGAGTTCCAAGGCCTTATCAAAGTCTCCCTTGAGACAGCGAACAGATGCCTGGATTTATCGGAATTAGAGAGGCATGCCACAGTGTGCATTGACATTGAAACACACCTCTCCAAGTAAAGCTGGGACACACGTCGAATCCCTCGACAGAGCGCCTTGGAAGGAATTAGAGGCTTCATCGTACTCCCTTCTCACAAGTCGAATATTGCCTGCATTGCCGTGAGCCGAAGGTAGGGTCTGTCAACGTCCCCAACTCCGACAATTTACCTGACGCCACAATAGCATACACATCTTGATTATCGAGACTCAATGCTTCGTTAAGAAGCTCCGTCGCCTGCAATATGCACTGGTTCGCTGTTAATCTGTCCGGGTTGTCATTCGCGTATTCGCTGTCCGCAGGGAGGGACTTGGCGGTTTCTATATAGTACGAAGCCAAGAGATTCAGCAATAGGACCTGATGCTTTTGTTCCACTGGTCCCGCCTCTAAAATGAGAAGACGTTAGAGCGACCATAACATAGCAAACTGATCTCAGTTCACGTACCTCGGGGAGCTCTTCGTAACCCGGTCCTGACGACTTCCTCGAACTGGTGTCTCAAGCCTTGTTTCCAGTATTCCAACTAGTAAGTAGAAACCTGTCAGCATCGCAATAGCTACTCAATTATAGAGATCAGTAGCAATACCGCAATATCAACATAAACCCATAGCGGAACGGCTTCGTCGTTCAGGATACTGAACACGAAAGACTCATTCTCTTTCAGATCACGTCGGCTGACCTCTAGCACTTCACCGCCATGGCCGATGGGGATATCTATCGACATTCTTCTTCACGATAGAATAACCAACCAGTCTAGAACAAGCGTCAGATGTATTTCGGATGCAAGTGCTGAGCCACACATGTACACGTCGCGCACTTAACCAAACGCCCGCCGCACATCAACCTTGCAAGTCATCACCGTCCAATACCTTTGACGTAACTCCTCGTGCTGGTAAGGTCACTTGGTCCACCTCCTGTCCACGTCAGTTTTCCTGAACGCCGTTACCTTATGCTCACTGCTGTGTTCGTCCCAAGTTGCCATCATGTTGATCGACCTCCAGCCTTCAAACAGGATCTTAGAAGAGGCATTGAGGGAACGCTTCAATGGGTATGTGACTATGACCTCGGCAACTATCTTGTTCCCATATTCGTTTCGTTAACCAATCATATACCGGTACTCTATAGCGAGGCAGAAAAACTCCAGCTGAAAGTAGCAGACTTCGATGGCGTGAAATATAGACTGTCGACTCCAGAAAGCAAAACCGTGCTGAATATCAGCATGGCTATGCGGTGCTTTGGCGAACTTCAACGCTATGGCGCGGACGCGGTCCTTCGCAGGGAATATGGTGATATGCTCGAGTCTACTCCGGAGAGCGGCTTTGATGTTACAGTGCGAGTGGACTTGCAAAATTTACCTCAGGATAAAGGTATAGAGTACTTTTACTATGTATTGTGCGCTGTATATTGACCCTGCCCTGTCTCTTATCCAGAAAGCTTGGTTCGGAAGCTCTCTCTCTTGAAGCGGAACGCGCTTGCCGCGCCTTTCGAAATAGCATTCAATGCACAACTCGAAGGCAGAGACTCCGAATTGATGACCATTCATTATCGAGATGAAGAAGCTTATTATATAAAAGCGCAGCATGATCGAGTTACTGTGATTTTCTCCACCATCTTCAAGGAAGAGACCGACCGCATATTTGGGAAAGTGTTCTTGCAGGTACGAGAACATTCAAGGCTGTTACATTGGTCTGTATACTCAAAGATGTCCTTCTGCTATTCAGGAGTTTGTGGACGCCCGTCGCTCTCCGGCGACACAGAACGCACCACAGGTACTGTACAGCCCACGCGAACCGCCAATGGAGTTACGTGGAGTACCAGGTGTTCAAGAGTCGGACTGGGTTGGTTATGTGACATTCGGTAAGATATCCAATATAAAATAGCGGAAACAAGCTACTGAATGTACTCTCGCTGTAGTTTTATTCCCTCGTCACTTTACTGGACCGGCTGCGGAGGGATGTATCTCTCGTATAGAACTCTTCCGCGATTATTTGCATTACCACATCAAGGCTTCAAAGGCATACATGCACTCGCGAATGAGGACAAGAGTAGACTCATTTTTGAAAGTCCTCAATCGAGCGAAACCTGAACAACCAGATAGCCAGAAGGAAAAGAAAACTGCCAGGTGAATAGAAATGCGCACAGTCTGGAGTCTCGAAAATGTATTGACATTCACAAACTGTTATTACAGCGGCAAAACATTTAAACGTTCCTGAAGTGTCAGAACCACCTTGCTGCACAATAGCAGCCTTTGGGTTATAAAGTTTCTACTCCTTAAATTCCGCAGACCTCCCTGTTTATATAAGCACAATTATATTCCTCTTTGGAACAAACCCTGCACATTTCTTCCTCCAAAATATGTAACAAAATCAAATTTGACAGCAGGTATCTAAACAAAACAACGTGCTCATCGAACCTCCCCTTCCTCCTCGCTGTCATCCAGTCGTCCACCGTCCCGATGTGAATCATGATATTCAGAACGACTCTGGCGCTTGCGCTCATTACGTTCCTCACCGTCTTCCAAGTCGGAGCCATCATCTCCAGACCGTATGTCACCCCTCTATAATAATCAATTGAGTCAAAAACGACAATCGCCTGCATCAAGAGTTCAATGCCAACACCAACGGAATCTTGTCCACACCAACCTTTCGCTTGTGTCGAGACCTTTCTTCCTCAGCTCCGCTCGATAGAGAACGATGTCGCCGATGCCTCTTTCTCTCTCTGTCCCTGTCCCGCTCTTTCTCATGCTTGGACGATCTCTTCTTTCTTCGATCAGATTCCTCGCGAAGAGACCCTTCTTCATCATCGTCTTCCAGGTCAGACTTGCTGTTATTGGCTCGGCTTTTTCTCTCAGCTTTCTCCTGGATGAGAGTGTTAGCCTGCAACTATCTCCAAGACATTATCGTATCCTCACACCTTAAGTCGTGCAAGATATTTGTTGAAAACTTCTACACGTTGCGACTCGTCCAACGTATTATATTCGCTGGTGCTTTTGACGAACGGCTCCACCTTTGAAGAGAGGGTCCGTCAAGGTTTATCTCATGAATGAGAGACGAATTAGCGTACCTTGTTCCAACTTGAATCTATCGTGATGGATGGATCTAGCTTCTTGAGCACGTATTTGAAAGCATCCATCTTTTTGCGGATTTTTTTCTCTGAACGTCGCTTGTCTTCCTTTTCCTGCATCAGAGCCCTATCTATTTGCTGCCAGGACGTGAAACATTAGCATTCTTTTTGTTTTCTGAGCACGGGCACCCTGGTTACCTCATCAAAAATCAGACGAAGAGTAGTCGCCGAAACAGATCCTAATTGGGCCCCTTCCACGTATGAAGAAAACTCGTGGAAGGATGTGTCCGGACGAACAGTGATATCTAGTGCCTAGGAACGTGTCAAGAGCCGCTGCGGGAGTGCAATGCTAGAATACACGTGGAAGAGTACCTTGAGAAGGTCCTCCACAGCACGTCTGTGTGGGCGAAATTCATCAATGAGTTCCATTATAACGTCACCAAACAATTCCACTGGAGTTGATCCATGCTGATGAAGTAATGCATTGAATCGCTCATCATTGCAGATCACTGGATAGACATCTAACCACTTGGTTCTTGCATGCATCAAGCCTTTCTCCCGCATTTCACCAAGCAGCGCACGGAACCGGTCCCGCTTCAGCCGTTCTTGACGCCGCAACATGCGATGCTCCGCGTCCATTTTTTGCTGAAATTTCGCGACAAGATCGTTCATATGCGCCTCAAAGGTGAGTAGGAAGTCGGTGGGTTCCATAGACTGCAATTTTCGATCCGCACGATACTCTGGTTGCGCTTTATACAGATCCTGAACCTGCACCCATGTGGTCTCAAGTGTGATGGCACTTTCGAGTGTGAGTCGCTGAAGGATCCGCTCAAACTTCGCCACATTTTCTTTTCTCGTCTCGCGAAGGACTTCCTATTGAGACATGTCAAAAAGGCTACGCTTCGCAGCATCAACGGTTTCTGTACACCAACCTTCTCATTTGCCTTCATATCCTCTATGTACTCTGCAAAGATGGCCTCTCTATCATGCTCATCCACAGATTGGAACTCTGTATGATTTGCAAAGATGTCTAGCACTTTCCTGAACTAAAGATCAGATCCTGTGTAAGTCAATCTAGGTAGATCTGCCATTACTGACCTGTATCGAGTCCTGGGATTGATATCTGAGCATTCAGCGAATAGTTCACGTAGCATTTGGCGATCTTGTGCGTATTTCATCTTCCTCTTGTGCTAAAGAAGGTCGACATCTTAACTGAAGCCCATCGACAGCAGAGTATATCCAGCCAAACCTCGTTCTCTTGACGCTTGTCTTCAACATATTTTTCAAACGCTGATCGTCGTTCGGCTAGTGTCTTTAGTGCCCGATATATGGGATGACCAATGATAACACGCATAGTTTCGTCCCACGTCCATTCTGGTGTAACTCCCTGAAAGAAGGTGCAAGGCAAAGTTCAAACATCGAGCATTGGCGATACTGATGCGACAACGTCTTCACCTTGTCTGACAATAGCCGTCTGAAGGCTGCCTCCGCTTCCTCTTTGGTGTTAAATTCAATGGTCTTTGGCTCGGAAGGCCTTTCGCTGTCACGTCTGGTTACGGGTGTGGTATTGGCACTCGACGCAACCGCCGTTTCCGGACCCTGACCGTGCGTCGCCGCGTGATGAGCACTATCGTCCAGCAAAGCTAAAATGCGGAAGATCGATCAGACTACGACTAAACATGCTCTAAAAAGACATTAACTCGTACGACAACGGTTCTATCATGCTCACCCTTCAGATCCGCGGGCATTTCCCAAGTTGTAATCTTCGACACTGTCAACAGTCATTAGCCAAGAGCAGTTCGAGATAGGTAAAATGGCAAACGTACAAACCCGTATTATAGTAATATTTTTTACCGTTTTCCGCAGTGTATTCCTTCCATGATGTTTTGGCCAGTGCTTTCTGATATAATCAAATCGAGGATATGGAGATCAGCATAGAAACTCGGCGCACGAGGTTTGCCGGTCTAACCTCAAGAGGTGTTTTCAGCTCTTCCGGTTTCTCCCAACTACTCTGCTTTGTGGCAGTATTAAAGTAGTATACTTTGCCATCACTGGTATTATGCGTGGTCCAACTTGTTGAAGGCTACGCACAAGGAATGCTTTAAATGGATGCAAAGGGACGTAGATGACCTTCAGGGGTTACCTGGCCGGAAGCTCCACCAGCGACAACTCCTGTGGCCATAGTTGAAGGTAAAGGTAATCCTGTCCACTGACCACCTGGTGGAGGTCCTGGGAGTGCCGGTGGGAGGGCTGCGGACTAGAGAGAGCATGAATGTGTCAGATAGATCAGGGTCGACTTCTCCAACACTATGCGAAGATACATACTCCGGCAGGTAAATGCCACGACATGCTGGTGGGATCACAAAGGACAATGGAATGGATACGCTAAATACCTCTACTTTTTGGCTGGCTCCCAGAATATAGTCGCTTGTGAAGGAGACTTGTCCCAACATTTCATTTGTCCCAAATTGGTAGCATTGGAGGCACAGCTGGTTGCTATGTATTCCATCGCGAATGATTCCGATGGAAGGGCAACTCTTTCGCTTTCACCCATCCCAATCCATCTGCCACTCGTTCCTCATATTACCATTATGCTCGCCTCTCGTATGTTCGCGCGTGGATTTGCTAGCTCCTCTTTCCAGGTAAGTGTTGCCTGTAGGATTGTGGCATTCTAGTTCATCACCAACGGGCGTCCATTTCTCTACAGCGGGGCGCAAAGGTTGCTGTCCTTGGGGCTGCTGGCGGTATCGGTCAGCCTCTTTCTCTTCTCTTGAAGCTTAACCCCCACGTAGACCGTTTGGCCCTGTATGATATTGTTAACACTCCTGGTGTCGCTGCTGATATCTCCCACATCAACACCAACTCTGTTGTAACGGGACATAAGGGACCGGAGCAGTTGGGAGATGCTCTGAAGGACTCGCAGGTCATTGTCATTCCCGCCGGAGTGCCTCGCAAGCCAGGGATGACCCGTGATGATCTGTTCAACACCAACGCCGGAATTGTTAAGACTCTTGCTGAGGCCGCTGCTAAATATGCCCCTAAGGCGCACTTGCTCATCATTGCCAACCCTGTCAACTCCACTGTGCCCATTGTTGCCGAAGTCTTCAAAAAGGCTGGCGTCTTTGATCCTAGCCGTCTCTTTGGAGTGACCACATTGGATGTTGTTCGCGCGTCTACTTTCGTTGGTCAGGTCAAGAACAGCAACCCCGAGGAGGTTAAGGTCCACGTTATCGGTGGCCACTCTGGTGTCACTATTATGCCTCTGCTTAGCCAGGTGGGTTCTTGGATCATAAATTATTTAGCATGCTTTAAGGCGCATCCTAATTTTGATGGTTTTTCAATCAGACTGGCATTAAATTCTCTCAAGACGAGATTGAGAAGTTGACACACCGCATCCAGTTCGGGGGTGATGAGGTAGTCAAGGCTAAGGATGGCACTGGTAAGCGGAAATGTGACAAAACCTTTACACACCCTTGTTGCTCACGTATTGAATGCAGGGTCCGCCACGCTCTCAATGGCTCAAGCGGGAGCACGATTCACCGACTCTCTCCTCCGTGCCCTTGCCGGTGAGAAGGGCATTGTGGAGCCAACCTATGTGAAGAGCCATGTCGCAGAGAAGGATGGTGTCGAATATTTCTCAACAAATGTTGAGCTGGGGGTATGTCTTGAATTGCCCAGTGATTAGTTGACAGCACCCGTACTCATCGAGTCGTTTGTCTGTGATAGCCCAACGGAGTCAAAAAGATTCATGACATCGGCCCTGTCTCTGACTACGAGAAGAAGCTCTACGAAGCTGCCATTCCTGAGCTGAAGAAGAACATCGCGAAGGGTGTGCAATTTGTGAACAAGGCTTAGACCTGCTGGTCATTAATTTAGAATCTGAATAAAATTGCATCTGTTTTTTCCTTGCTACAAAGGTACATGGAGGGTTACTTATAATTTATCTGTATGCCAGTTATCACCGCTTATTCATCATCCTCACTGTGACTATCTCGTCGTCGTTTCACGGAGGGTAGCCCATCACTGGACGCCTTCCGCTTTTGAGAACTTCCGGTGTCGGTCTTGAGGAGGAACACATACGTTCTACTGCCTTTACTATGGATCTCCTCATTAGCTGCAGCCGATAGCCCTTCCGTGAAACCAATTGTTCTTCGATGAGTATAACCCTCGTACAGTCGAGCATCGAACTCGAACGAACGCGAACAGATTAAAATTCCGGTTCGCTTGGCTTGCTCCTTGACATCCCATAGATCATAAGGATCTCCTTGCTTGAGAGTTACATGTATTTCTCCGTCAATCGGATCACTGTTCAAGGAACGCGACATGAGCTTCCCACTTGCGCTGGAAAGAAAATTGAAGATCAAGAGCTGATTTGCCCGAATATTGCGGTCTTTGTCCTTAATGCCCGCTCCTGAGATGGTGTGGGCAGATTAAGATAGTATCCAATATGTGGATTTCATAAACCTACCTGTGTGCGGAAAATTGAAGACTAAAGTGGTAGTAAAATATTAAAACTGCTGCATGCAAATAGCAATCGGACCAGACACGCACCTATCTTACTGAAGCGCTTTCCCCTGATCGCCTTGCACGAATTCAGATCCGTTGCATCCACCTCGAATAGAACGGTTCCACCCAACTCCCGTATTGCCGTTATATGTTCTATCGCATCAGAATACTTTGTAGATAGAATCTGTTCTGAGTCATATGCAGTGGCCACCAACTCGCATGCCCCATGTAGGCTTTCAGCGATCGCATGAGCAAAGCTAAAGTTTCCTATGTTGGACCTAATGCCGGTTTGTTCAAGGTACGTGCTCAGTCTACACGAAACTCGACAGCGCACCTTCGCCCACTAGGAGAATAGAATCGTCTTCCAGGTATGGTATAGTACTAGGCGCTCGCTTCCTTCCTGTCGTTGCTTTTGAAGCGTCTCCTATGGCTTTTGGCTGTAGTGGCTTTTTACTCTTCTGTTGGACTATTTGATGTCGCTGTAAGGCGGCCCTAAGTTTTTTACTTTTCATTGTGGGAGTCGGCCTGCACAACGAAACCAAAAGATAGGCCAAGCTGAAAGCCTAGAATGTCACAAATGGCACAGTCATGTAAAGTATGCTATGTTATTTATTCGTGCAGCATTTTGCGTCGACTATCATTGCCCAAGCCTTTAGTCCAAAAACGGAGCACTGGCAGATCAGACTCCACGGCTCGTATACTACGAAGGAACTCTTGAAGCCGAGTATGGTTTTCAGCTCCTCCAGATTTTACAAATTTGTAGAATAGCTTTGCTTTGCTTCAGATCCAGGAATCAGTCACTCGGCGAAAATCAGAGGTTCGTTCTTTTCGCGCACTCACTTTAGCCAGCTTTCTCTCAAAAACGTCAAATGAAGCTTTAGGGCATCCTCAGAAAGATGTAACTTCAATATCTTCCGTAGCTCGCGCACCAACGTACAACGGCCTCCTTCATCATCACCGCCTTCAGGAAATACTATATTGTAAGGCAAGGTCATATGAGGCCCTTCAATCGGCATCAGTGGATCATGAATATCTAGCGAGCATGCAACCCATCAGTACAGTATCCAATTAATGAATACGAGCGATTGCATACCTAGAAGAACAATGTGACTAAGGTCAGATTCCAATGGTATTAACGATCCTGGCGCCATCCCAAGCAGATTACAGTGAAAAGGTTCCACGTATTCCATGCTATACTCCATCATGGAGCAACAAAAAGATGGGATAAATTGCTAAGAAGATTGTCGCGAATGAGCTTCGTATGCATGCAAACTTCAGTTTGAGGAGAGGGCAAAAGTACCTTAAAGTAACGGAGCAGAGAAGCAACAAGATCTTTGCTTTGGCTCTTTACAATTATTTGGTCTCCCACGACGACGTGGAAAAGTAGACGAGTACAATTGTCCACCCCGAACCAAGTTTCCAATTGAGAATATTGGTCTACATATTTGCTGGGTTGCGTGTTCGGGTTCGTACTGCCAGTGAGTGTTTCATTAGCGTTTGTAGAATTATTATCCGGATCACAAAGATCCTCCGTGAAGGTTCCAGTCTGAGAAGTTTATAAGAACGTAGCTACGGTACGGATGATCGAAAAGGTTACCATGATTCGACCCTCGGCATGTAATTCGTGTACTCTGCGTGCGAAGGCCTGTAAACTCCAGGAGAATACGCTGTGCAACCTAAAAGAAAGGTCCTGCAAGGAACCTGATCGTGTTGACATTGTGACTTCCTAACTGAAGCACGATCTACGGACCGGCAAATCGACCAGCTCCGATAGTGACCGGAGCGCCTGATTACCTCGTCTACGCAGGAAGTGTTCTGATCAAGTTGTCAGTTCCAAGAGCGTAAGATTTTGTCGACAGCTCCACCCCACCTGGAGAGGAAACACCGAAGGAGTGCTGGCGATGTAAGAAGCCTTCAGTGCCTTCTAAAGCTGCCCTCTCCGCTGCAAAAAGCGCTTCCGCCTTCGTTTGCAATTCTCCCGATAACGAGCGGAACTTGCTATATGCCATTACGTGTAATTAAAGGTGGGCTTCGCAATACGCCAATACTCGTCACGGCACACTACCTGACGAGGAAAGGCCAAGACGCCACTAGAAAGTGGCGGTCTTTGCTGATGAAGAGAAACGTATACCATCTCTGAAAGCCACGTGCTTGAGTATCTCGCACTTTGAACATGTAGCTTAGCGCACATCCAGTTGTGTCATCCCCGAAGAGGATAGGGCCTTCGCGACCTGGACAAAACTCGCAACTCAAACTTTTTTGCTAAATGTGAGCTTCACGTAGCGTTTCAAAATTAAGGCACTGTCAACAACCGTTACCTTTGCACGCAGGCCTGGCGGACGCTAGAATACAGCTCAGGATAGTAAGGAAACCTTCCTGTTGGCCGAAACAGGCCAAGTTGCAGTTCTTATTGGCACGAGCGCGACCATCAATGCGGATTCTTATCGGTCTCACCGGAAACATGCGCGACGTCTTCATCCGCGTCGGTATCCCACGACACATATCCCTGGTTGGTTCCTGTGAGGATAGCTTGTGTTTCGCCGTTCACAACTTGTATGGGCGGGAAGCCTATCGAGCACCCAGAACAAACCGTCACCGAAGATTCCGCGTCCACAGGTGATGTTAAAGGAGGTCTTTCATCGATAGCTTGTTTGCCTGCTTCTTGACCTCGGACAGTGTGTGTGCAGCATACTAAAGCTGGCCCATGCACTTCACAGAACACTGCAAGAGCTACGCAATTAGAAAATTCTACTTTCGAGACATTCTGCGGCAGCATCATGTCCACGCAGGACACGGCCACCTGCAGAGCACGGAGCCTTTGGTGCCCCCAGATCGTTGTGACAAAAGGTTCAAGATTGCCAAGATAGATCGATGACAGATTGCAAGTAAGGCTTGTGATCGTGGTTTGCGGCCACGTGTTTGTGAAGCACGTGATTGTAATTCAATCACGCAGCCTGACGTCGGTGTTTCCAATCCTCCACGATCCGTTCCTCCCCATATCATTCTCATCTTACACGAAACACGGGCAGCATTGACCCACATCCGAACACATTCGACTTACAGCATATATGAAGCTTGTGCCTTAGTTACAATGTCGTCCCGCAAAAGTGCAACCGTTAAGGCCGCCAAAGCTGCCAAGGTCTCCGACAGTGGAAGCGCAATACCCGATGGTCCAAAGGCAAGACATTTCAGTATGATTCGCGAGTTTGTGCTAGCAGACTTGGTCACCCTATGCAACTCAGCGTAAGCCCTCGTTGCATGAAACGTTAATCACATCCGCTTCTGGTCCTGTTCATAACAAGATTCCTTCTTTTAAAAAGTTCTGGTTCGACGTCCATTTTTGCTTCTCTCAAATACGTTACAACCCAGAATGTTTGGTTCCTGTACGCAGCCATCCTACTCTTGCCTGCAGCCCTTCTTTTTGATATATTAGACGGGTATGTGAACATGTGTTAGATTTGGATGTAAGCCCTTCTCGTACTTATCGTCGGTACAGGCGTGTGGCTCGGTGGTCGCGCTCCTCTTCGCCGATGGGTCGTGAGCTAGACTCTCTCGCCGATGTGATCAGCTTTGGTGTTGCTCCAGCTGTACTTGGGTAAGAAGTACTAGTGCAAGACGAACGAAACTCTTATCTTATCGGTGCATTCAATAGATTTGCCATCGGCTTACAGGGCCTTTTTGATGTTGTTGTGCTCCTGTACTTTGTCAACTGCGGTGTCTCTCGTCTAGCGCGCTACAACGTCACTGCGGAGACAAATATGGACCATAGTGGCAAAGTGACGTTTTTCGAAGGCACACCGATTCCCACCACCGTACGTTTTCTCCATGCACGACCGCGCAAATGTTGGCACTCACTCACCTACGAACAGGTTTTCATTGCCCTCGGCATTCTTTACCTCCTCAATACAGGACAGTTTGGAGATGGACAGGTAACTCTTTAGAATGCCTTGTGCATCACCATGAATGATAGTGATATATTTTCAATTGTGCTTTTAGCTTCCCGGGGGCAAGTTCGTCGTTGGAGGATGGACTTTTCACGTAAGTACATATGCTACTTATGCGCCGTATATTATTCCTAAAATGCATAATGCGATGGATATTCCAATATCTACAGCCCTTTGCCTTGGTTTACGCGTTGAGCGGCACTTTACAAATCAGCAAAACTTTGCGAATTCCCAAGCCTTAGTGCCTGATGATGTCCTCACCGTACCTCCAGCAAGTCCCCATCCTCCAGGCCCAGTTCCTCCAATCTCATTGAAGAATCCAATACTTCTCCATCCAACATTAAACGACGTGTGCCGTGACTGATATTACGCAATTTTTGATAGGCAGCTATCAGCGCTTCCACCGTTGCCCCCTTCTTGGCCTTGATCTTGGTAATCTCTGTAGCGTCTTGCATTTTTAATAGTATCAATTCGTTACAAGGATTGCCTTCCATCTCCACGTCGCCCACATTTTGGTCCTCGTGAACAGGCTTTTGCTCTGAGTCTTGAGCTCGCCTTAGTGCTTCGTATTCGTTTCTGATGTACGCTTCTATATTCATTCGTGAGCAGGACGCTGGCATTGGTGGCGTCATGCAAACGCACCTATTATTGGCTTCCCGTGCATCTTGACGGACGCGGGGGTCCCTCGCGGAAATAGAGGCGTACCTTGGTACACGAATATCATTTCCCGCATGTCACTCACGTTCCATTTGGTACATGTGACGCGCATCATAACTTCAAATGACTGGGACTGAGTATGCTTTAGGGATTGCTGCACCAATACCAATATTACAGTTTCAACATACCATGAGCAATTTATACGCTAATGGCTTCGGACAACCATCTCGAACTGGCCACGGCTTGTACTTGACTTTTACGGTTATTACTTGATCACCTCCCTCTGGTGATACACCGGTGTCTAGCGTTTGAAGGACTGGGTCCAGTATAGTAGTCGAAATCTGGGGTTCCTCCGGTAAATACGTAGGTTGAAGCTGTTCGCTAATCTTCTCCAACATCTGACTATATTGATATGCCTTCAGTATCGAACCAATGACAATTTATCTGCAGATATGTAGGCCTCGTACCTCATTGTATTTAGGACATTGGAATCTTGATGGGGTAATTGAGGTGGCGGAGTAAGAGATGGCTCTCGATCGCTAGCTGTCGTAATTTCGTCGACAGCTGTCTGTTTCTCGCTCACGCATATACTGAGCGTCCATTTTAGCATATATGCAAACCTTTTTCAATCTTATTGAACAAGCAGCCCACCTTGACAAGTTACTCTCTACAATGGGCGACGTTACATCCACCTGTATTTGCTTCTTCTGATGTTTTGAAGACATGTCAACTCTGCTGCCTAGGGAACGATTACGTCGTTGGGGAATGCCGCGCCAAAGTGCTTCGGGATCATCGTCAGTGGGGGTGGGAGAGCGGGATGCTTGGCGGGTCGCTTTGGCTATCCTGAAGCAATTTGGTTGCATGATCAACAGATGGTGCGAAAAAGTCTCAGAAACTCACTGGCCATTTTTGTTTCTATCGAGCCCAAGGTGGTTTCCCCGTCCATATCAAAGAAACTAGTAAAGTCCTTCTCACTACTGCTCCGTGATGGCACAGATCGTTTTGGACCGGTTGGGGGTCGTCGAGCTGCGGGCTGCAACCGCTGCTTGGTCTGGCAATGACTCGTGTCATCGTCACTATCGGATATTACCGTTTCGGTGAAATTCTCCAGAGGAACGGACGAAGTACACTTTCTTCGTTTGCGGTCGTGCATTCCTTGGGGGAGGCCACTCGAAGAGATCACAGTTTTTCTGCAAGTTTGTCCCAAGCTCATGTAGATCGGCTTGCTCTAGCGTCCGACATTCGCGTTTTAATGATCTAGTCACATGATTCGCAACTGAGGCTTGCAACCGAAGCCTTTACTTTGGGGTGATCTCAACCTTCGCGATAAATTTAGATAGACCTGGATGCCACCACCGAGAATATCGGCCGCACATGGAGCCACAGAACAGACATGACGCAAAGGCCATCCTGAAAAAAGATTTAGCTAGCCTCCACAGCGATATCCAGTCGGCCACAAGCGTGAGCACTGTTAAGCGGGCTTTGGCAGAACCTTTGGCACTGTTTTTCGATGCCCCAGAAGCTGTAGACTTTCTGACTAATGGGGTTGGCACCTCACTGACCACCGTGTTGGCTGCATCAAAATACTTCAGCAACATACCTATAGAAGCAGTGGATCTATACCGAGACATCTTTTTCCGTACCTGTATTGCTCAGCACTTTGAGTTCCTGCTAAGAAATGTTGCCGTGAGCTGGCTTCCTTGTTTTTCGGAACAGGAGATAAAAACCCTATTTGAAAGCTACTTCATTCCTGAGGCGCTGGACTCCTCAGAGGGCACACATCATGTGCCCCCACCATCTTTAGATCTACTGGGTACCCTCCGCTTCCTCTCTGACGCCGCAGCTTGGACAGAGCACACGCACGTGGTAAAAGTCGCTGTAGACCTTTTGCAAAAGCTGTTAACAGCTTGTCGTGTCGAGGAGTTTTATGTTGCGGAGATGACATTGCAGACTGGTGGCATGGAAGCTGCTCGCATCGAGCGATGGCAGCAATATGTAGCCATTATCACGTTTCTGCCAGATAAACTCGCCAATATCTTTGGCGTTCGTCCACCAGAATTTTTTCGCACAGCGTATGATATAAGTACATCTCGTTTGAATCTCAAGGTCTGGCACTAAGACCCTTTATCATTAGATCTTTCATTCGCTTGATCGCGGCTCAGATCGGTTCGGCCGTGAGCTCCATAGCTTCAAGGGAACCAGTTGGTATGTCAACTCGCGCACTGTCTTACTCTATAGCGTTGCCGTGTGAATGGTCCAACCCAAAAGAACAGATGTGCCCGCCATATACCTCACCGAACTGATCGAGAAATTGGTGCGGTTAGGATACGCAGGTTGACAACCTATTGTCAGGATTCAGAAACTTTCACCATGCTGATCAATCAAATCTATAGAACACCTAATGGAATCTTGGATGCCTTCCGTTAAAGAGAGCGTCTGTCAACCTGACGTAGCCCTTCTGTGGAATGCGATATTCCAGAAACTGGGACGTTCCGAATCCGAGCACATGCTGTTGCAGCTGCTGGAGCGCTTGCGAAAACTTTTATCTATCGGGGGTAAGCTCCAGTTATACGCTGTCGTTGAAGAGGAGACTCACACTCTACCACAATTAGTCGATCTGACGACACACCGAGAAGCAAGCAAGTACATGCTCACATGGATAGGAAGCCAAACGATGGAGCGAAATCCGCACATCCGGGACTTGCTCAGTAGGAAGTTCCTTTATGACTCGGTCTTGCACGTGGATATTTTACGAATCTTGGTTCGATGCATGGCCGAGTTTCCCAGATCATCTGGTATGTCGACGTGGTCTCATCATGCCCTATTTCAGCGGTCCTGACTGCAATCCATACAAAGCTCTGTCGGTGGCCTCCAATATTCGAAGGCTCGTCGAAACTTGGACGGATAAGAGTTTTCTCAGATATGCGTCTTACGAACAACATGCGCGTGAGTTCCGATGTTGATGTTATCATGATTATAGAGTAATACATCTGAAAGGCGCGGATTCTTGTTAGATGTGACATACTTAATTCTACTGTCTCTCAGTTATCTCACCCCAGAAGATGCCAGTGGGGCAGATTTGCTCGGCATTTTTCTAACTGGGATGACAGCATATTTAGATAACAGCGATCCTCACATCCGTAAACGAGGAATGGTTTGTATCATCATTTTGGTCGTTTGTTGGTTCATGTGAAGATTGACGGCCCTCTGCCGCATGGCGTAGGTCACTGCAGAGTGCTTATCAAAGATTCTCAACTCGAGCGCGTTGGACTTTGGCCTAGAAGCTGACGAAGAGGTGACATTTTTGAGAAGCCTGGCGGATCCAACTACACGCGATGGACCCATGGGAGGGATGAGTACGTCAAGCGCTGAGGTGTTCGACGTCGATTTGGAGCTGCCAGAAAAAATCAGCGATGCAGATCATGGTGAGGAACGCAATCGCTCAACTGAACACCTCAGCATACATCTTACCGCTCTGTAGATGAAGACGATCCGGATGAAGTTGTCTTGCCTTCTCACAATCAGGAAGGCGATGAGTCCTGTGAGTCCTACTTTCCCACACCAAATAGTGGAAACCTGCCTGTCTGATGTTCATCGTCATGCCAGCTCCCGATTCCGACGACGATTTGCCCGCATACGATCTGCGAGAACCAGATGTGAGGGATGCGGATGCCAAGATATTGAAGCCGCCCATGTATGTTGTGACAGACCATGAGCCTACTGTATTCCTCTGGTCGAGCTGATTGTATGCTTACCATGGCTTCATAGGTACATTCGGGAGTGCCTCGACGGGCTAAGGGCCGAAGATGATCCCGAACAGCTGAATATCTGTTTGGCACGGGCGAGCGAACTTATTGAGCGCGCTCCCCAGGATGACCTTGGTATGGTCGTTCTCCACCCTCGCCTATTGTAAGCCAAATTCACCGACCTCTTATATTGCAGATCATATCGCATATGACCTTGGGTCAAGGCTCATCCATCTGCATAATAACTTTGATCTAACTGATTTCGACAAGAACCGGATGCGTGCGCTTGTGTCCTTGTTGGTTCGAATGCCTCACAAAATCTCTAGGTTTGTGACTTGCTGATATGTGGTGCCAAGGTCGATCATTGATTCAATGCTCTCCTTGAAGGTACTTGATTGACCAGGTGTACGAGCGCCAGATCAGCATCCAGCAGCGACTGGACATCCTAACCTGTTTAGCGTTGGGCGCAACAACATTGAGCGGGTTGCAGAGTATCGGGGTAAGGTTTTTATCCCGTAGTTCAGGGAACTTTTGTTGGAGGTTCATCCTCACTTTGCTGTTTCAGGCTGGCGAGAAATCGGCTCAAGCGCCTTCCCAGGACATGCAGGTTTCAGCCTCTCGGGGCAGGCCAAGACCCAAACCCGTCAGTCGCTCGAACATGTTTGGACCGGTCGCGACATCCTTCTTGTTTCCATTGTTGACCAAAGTACACGAGATGATGTGGGTGTTGAGTTCAATTTGGCTCCGGTGTATTCGTTTGTCGGGAGCATTGACATATACTCTGACAGTGAGCGACCGAATGCTAGTGGCGGGCCCTTTGGAACCCTTCTGTTGACTAAAATCATCATCACCGCTGGCGTCTTCGTCTATTGTGCTCGTATGTGACTTCACAGACTTACGGAGAGTGTGTGATGCTAATGCTGAGGTACATGCAGAAAACACGGTAGACAACCGCCGACTGACACGAGACTACTTTAATTGCCTATGGGCTCTCCGATACCTTCCCCTCAACGATACCACAGGGCTCTTGAATGCGATCTTGGTTGGGTTCAATGTTATCCTGGAGGCGCTGCCTCAGTCAATCCTTTTGGACGAATTTGGAGGGCCTACTAATGAACTAGGGCAGCTTAGAGAGTGGGTTTCAGGTGAGTTAGACAGGCTGACGGCACTAATCGCGGCAAGAGTTTTTTAAATCTTGCTATTCTGTGCGTGCAGATGTGCTTGTGACGGATTCAAGGAGGGAGAATTTACAATTGGCAGCCTCGATTTTGTCCTCTAGTCGGAATTTATTCGATAGCCAGCGGGAGCTGTTTTGGGGTGATGCGCTATAAAATAGACGCGAACTGGGTGCGTTGTGTGTATGTACCTATCATTGAAGGAAACTTGTTTGCATGGCACTATGGTAGATAAAGAATAAAGTTGCTGTTACCCATGTTGATGTGCAATAATTTTCTCACAAGCGGCACTATCCTGGAACCATCTATCAGTGATGCCTATGTGCAGTAAAGCGCTCATGAAGAGTATGGGACAGGGCCGGCCATCCACAGTGAGATCATCTTGTGAGTACTAAAGCTACAGGCGATTTATCCACCACCGTATTTAATTTAGGAGAGGTTTGGCGGGTATCCTTTGTGGCGAGCATGCTTGACATATCATAATTGTGGAGGGATACTATCAATAACCCCTGGTTAATCACAGTAATATGGTCCCAGTAAGAAGAAGTCCAAATTCAAGCGGTCCAAGTTCATAGCCATTGTTCGAACTTGCTGAATTTTTCAAGACATACATGAGTCCACAATCTCCACAATGCCCCAATGAAGATGCATTTCAAAGGAGCGACATTAGCCAGATGATATCTTGCAGCTTCAGATGGACAAGATGCCAATTCGTGTTGACATCACAGCTTTTTCACGGTGAAGCCAATCAGATACCCAACGAAACAGCACTTTGCAGTTTTATTACGAGCAGTCCAATAGCTATTCAATATCTGCTTCACCAAGGATGGTTCATCTCCTGGATTGGATTTCAGCGGCATTGTGATCCATGCAGTAGATGCCCTACACGTACGTCGCTCTGTTGCTACTTGTTTCACGGCATATGCTTCTTTGGACAAGAGACTTTTATTCTGGGCATGCATTTGCAGTTGGAGCCAAAGTAAAGTGTCTCCCATAGCTTGAAACTAAATTCAGCAGAGTGACGCGTACCGTGGATCAAAAGCTTTGACACTGCAGATAGGTCTGCCGCAACGACCAGAACTTCACGTGCTTGCTCCACTGCAACGATTTGCATTGCCAACGACAGCAGCTATTGAATGGTCTAGTATAGCTACCGACTCACCGTTTGCAATTTAGCAAATCGAATCTTTTTGCATAATGTTCACCAATGTTCCTTTCCTCTAGGTGTCAAACAAATCGCGCAAGAACATGCTCTAAACATTTTCTTTTCATGGAACAAATGAAAAGTTATCGGTGCTGATTGAAGTCTAGCCAATAAGCGCAATGTGAGTGCTGATTCAGCTAGATCAGCACTTTGTAGATCCATTGTGACTAGCCCAATGTCCATTTCACCAAGGACTGAGTCTGGGCAGCGCAAATCCTGGAGTGGATTTCAGCATTGTGACTCAAACCCGACGACGAGGATGTCGCTTGAATAGACCGTCTATCAAATATGGGACGACAAGCTGCTCGATCGGAACAAGGGGATCAAGGCAGCGGGCGAAGGATTCGACTGTGCTTTGTCAAAACAATATTCATTTAACTATTGCGCTCCAGGGATGTTCCACTTGGCTATTCCGATAACAAGCTACGCGCATATGAACTCGGACAGCCTAATGATGCGTCCCATAGGTGCGTATACGACGGCCTGCCAGAAGTGACTGAGATGTTTGAAGTGATGCTCAATTGCCGGATGTTTGCATGATTGGGAAAACGCCATGTTGTTCACGGAACTATAGAAAAATGGCTTAAATAAACGCTGAACTCAAGCCATCAACCAAGAAGGAGTAGGGCTTTCTTTTATTAATCCTCGCATTGTCCAGCATGGTCAAATGATTATATATATTTGCCTTGCAACGTTCAGTGCGCTTGTTACGGCGTTTGTCAGTCGGTCGCCAAGTGCTACAAGCAAGGACCTCAATGACGGGAGATGGACAGTGAAAAGTGGACCCCACCGCCACAGAGGTTTCGAGAGAGTTTCGGCGGGGGAAGATGATGAGTAGCAGAGACTGCATGCATTCAATGCATTTAATTTGCTGTCTGTGCAAACGATATTTGTTCTTCATCTCGTTGGGGAGGACCGTGGGAAAATCAAGATAAACAAATGACTCGCTTCACGCGTTTACATAATCTGAACTTACGCGCCATGCGAGGGGAACGAACGCACGCCAGGAGGTCTGCCAGGAGGTGGAAACGACGACGATGATTGGGCATCGATGAGGTGACGTACGCAGGATACGGAATCTTCCGCCGAGAATTCCCGAATTACAAAAAAAAAGCGCAGTCCCCCAGGGTTATAAAAAGGCACCCTCTCCCGCATCCGCCCACGCTCTCTTCACTCGCCTTCGGA